TAGACTGAATGGTAATTTATAATCAGTCACAAGAACGTCGAATCTGAATCACTTGAAAAAAACACGGGGGTGCTTTACTTTTTTCCAGGTGTATACATTGTCATAAGTTTTTTATATAATTGATTCACAACTGCAGAGGTCAAACTTTTGTTCACAAGCAGTCATAAGAGGCTTTTGGGATCCTGTATTCTGGATTGACTGGTTATTTTGAATAAGTATTTGCAACAAACGTCAATTAATTAATAGCAAGGCTCATTATTTATATAACCTATACTTACTTTATGTATTCAAAAACCTTGTCTGGTTTCACTGAGATCAAACAAACTTTTCACATATTGGAAGTATTATGGAATTGTTTTTTCATTGGTAGTTTTGTTCCATCATATAATGTGTAAGAATAAGAAGCAGTAACATTAAATTTTTTCTAACCAATACTTTGAGTGATTACAAAGCAAATATTAATGTGTGCCTTTATAATAGTTAATATATATTTTTTACGTTTCAAATTAAAGACAATTCAATTTTGCATAATGTTACTTAAGATTCTTGTTAATAAAACTTTCTAATTTTATGTTCATTTTCATGTATTTCATATCACTAATTTTAAAAGGCTTATTCCCTTTGTCACTCTGTCGAGAAAATTTTCAACAAAACTATCACCTGATTGTTCTTAGGCCAACTGTGGTGTTTATGTTGAATGCACAATATTTGTGTTGATTTGTTAGAAAGGTTTGTTTTTTATTCTTTATTTTATTGATAACTTTGGTGATATACCAGCAAAATAGTTTAATTGAGAAGTTTTATGACATTTGAGTTGTAGCTAAAAGCAAAATAAAATTTATCAAGTAGTGTTTCAGCTAAGCTTTACATTATGCTTATGTATTAAGCCTAATGCTTAAATTAGACTACAAGTAGGCCTACTATTAATAATTTTATACAGTCAGTATTTAAAAAGTTTTAAGTGGTGAATAAATGTTAATTAATAAATATTCTTTTGGTATTTTAACACACTTACTTGGCCTTAAAACATAAAGAAAAATAAAAGTTTATTACAACCAAATATCTTTTATCCTTTGTACAGTCGAAAGAGTTGAAAATTTGTGTCTGAATGTCCGCACTATGTTTTCTACTTTCTGATCTAGAATACAGTGAAAAGGCTCAAGAGTGGTATTTAAGTCTCTTTCAGAGTGCACATGTACTTTTGTTCACAATAACATTTCATCATTTTTTTGCGTAGTTTTACAACAATGTGGGGATTAAAAGAAATATTTTGAGACCGATGAAATAAGTGCAGAATATGTTCATTTTGGAGATACAGACAAATTAGTTTTAGTTAAGTTGTATAATTTTTCGTAATCATTCAGTAATGGTCTCCCATCATTTTTGATGGTCCTTTATACTAGTGTTAATATACTTTTTTAAATTTTAAATAGTTTTATACTTTGTATACTTAAGTAAACAACATTTTGTTATTTAAATTTTGCAAGTTGTTTAGGAAACAATTTGTAATCTTCCAGGAAGAAATAATATTATTACAGTTTGTACAAACAATCCTTAGAGCTGTCTTTATAACATAACTTGTTAAAAAACTACAACACTGATGCTAAAAATAACTAAGTCAAAAAATCTTGAGTCAGGTGTTTCAGTGGTACTGCTACTGTTGATACAAAAATAAAAGGTTTGTCATCAGTAAATGGTGATAGACAGTAACTTAGAAATACAAACAACAAAATTAAAGATTTACTCATTGTTAACAGTCCTCAAAGCATAATAAACTTCTAAGTAATAATGATCCCACAACTTCCAAAATTTTTAAAGAATGCCCAGTTATAGACGTGATAAAGATATAAAAAATATTTTAGTCGACAGTATCATCCAGCAATTTAACCCAATGTGAACCCAGGTACAGCCTGTTTTCAAAGAAAGAAATGCATCACCTGCCAATATGTTAAGACCGCAACATCCATATCTGGCCTCAATGGAAAATTCCAAATACAACAAACATTCACTTGCATTCCAAAAAGTCTGATATACTATGTGTGTTTTAAAAAGTGTAGCATGATATTCATTGATCAAACGGGTCGACACTTAGGGGATTGTTCATGTGAAAATCTCTCTTATATAAGAAATAATGACACTACAAGACCCACAAGTATACACTTTAATAACCCTTCACAGTGCATGTCTGACTTCTTCATATTTGGACTTGCATTTGCTCCATCCACTGCAATGCAAAGAGAATGCCTGGATAAATGTTTGATTTTTAAATTAAGCACTGTCAATCCTTTTGGAATGAATGAAGAGTTCTTTCCATTTTCCCACTATACACTTTATCTACAATTTCTCATACTGACAATTTGTTTGCACAACTTTTTTCATCAATATACACTCTTTTTCCTTTCTATCCCATACATTTTAGTCACCTACTTTTATTACCTTTATATTCATTTCTTTTCACAGTTGTTATTCACTCGTATTAAGTTCACATAACTTTTATTGTTGTATATCTTTGAACAATATTACCCGATGCACATGTTCATTCTCATTGAATTAATTTCCCTACATTGTTCCCTGTATTCATGTTCTGCTTCTTTCTTTTTGATTTAGTTTGTTTACTATATTTATAGAGTTTGTATAATGAATTATTATTACATTTTCTCTTTTCTTAGCTCATCTGTAGCTTAGTAACTTGTTCTTGAGCCACATGTTACTTGTTGTTTTTCTCTTTGACTCTAACCCTTATATTAACGGCTTCATTCTCACTGGAAAAATGATAGAGCTGTTGCCTGAGACATTGTTTTAGCAATATAATTATTTTAATTTGGTGAGTTTTTCACCATTACTTTGTAATCTATTTCACATTAAGTATTATTCATTTTTTGTAAGCCTTATAAACAACATAAAAAGTTAGTCATTGTTAATAAATGACTTACAACAGAAAATATTAATAGTTGGTTTTAGAAAACCTCAAAGCTACTAACAACATGGTGTTAGTCATAAGTATTATTATGTGTATGGACAGTATATCCAATTATCTGATTATTTAATCAGATACTCAAATCCAGTTGGATTGTAAAATTATAACTTGGATATGTTTTAAACAGAGGACAGACACTGTTCATGATGCTCAATTCTTTCATGATTGCTTAAAGGCTTGCATACTTTTCCATACTGTAATAGATTTTCTTTTATCTTCCAGATGAAATTCTTCAGACTTAACAATTCATCATTCTTCTTCTTTGCATTTCTTTTCATGTATTCTAACATGCCCGAGAACAAAATTATAATTTCTTTTCAGATACCAAACAAAACATTCAGTAATAGCGTACATAAGATTTTCCATGAACTCTCAGATTTTTACATTTTTTTGTGTCCTTTCCTGATGTCAGTGCAAGTTCATAAATAAATAGAACCAAACTGGGGGGAAGATTAGGACTTTTTTCTTTTAATAAAGTGGAAAAAAATACTGTGAAATTTCAACTCATAAATGTAAGGGATTTTCCATAATATAAATTGATTATGTATCAAACATTGCTGTACTCTTCTTTCCACATTTTTTATTGATGCCTTTAATGATTTTAACCATTCTAGTTTCAATTCTACCGACAATTCCAGGTAATATAATCAACTAATATACATTAATAATTTTGAGCCATTCCCAAGTAAATTCAGTACAGAATGAAAATTAAACATCATTTTTGTTATACCAATCTTACTTATGAAAACTATCTTTATAGTAATTTGTACTTCAAGTGAGGTGGACATCCTTGTGAAACTTTTTGACCTGTTCAGCTTAAAATTTCTTCTGCTATTTTAGCTATTCATGTGTATAATTTCCATTAATATTGCAGTTTAAACTCTGTTTAAGTTCATTTGCATAGTAAGAACAATTTCTGTGGTTGTGTAAGGGATACCAGGTTCACTTAAAGTAATTCCAAGTACTTGGTGTACAGCTGTCGTATAACAGTCAGGAAACGTAGAACAAACTATGCTACATTTTTAATAAAATAACTTTTTTGGAATAAATTATTTAAAGTAATGTTTATTATAATTTTAGAAATTACACCAGTAATTGCTATATTTGTAATTACTGTCATTCATTAGTAAAGTCATTTTATTTAGTTTAAGATTTCATAAATTTTTGTGTATGTTTTAACTGCACTGTGACAATGCCAACAATGACTTTCACAAAGAACATGTATTCCTTTTCTGTTTTTTGTAATATAGATGTTACTCTTGTGTACCCACTCCAGTAACGTAAGGAATTAACCTTTATTGTATTGCTTACTCATTATGACTATAATGGTAATTAATGACATGAACTTTAGGTTTTGAATATTGGGTGACTAATTTATTATTTAATTACATCACAGTCTTTTGTATAAAATTATATAGGTCATATAACAGCAAATTGTGTTACTAAATGCTAGGAAGCCAGGTGTAGCTTTCTGGTTAGCATGGAGGACTACAGATCCAAGGGTCTTTGCCCTGGTGCCACACTTTGAAGCCATGAGTATGGTATAAGAGTGACAGCCAAATTCCACTATTTGGTCAGACAGAGTTCAAGAGTCGGCAGTGGGTGCTATTGACTAGCTGCCTTTTCTCAGTTAAAATTAGGGATGGCTAGTGTAGATGGCCCACATGTGTAGCTTTCCACAAATATGTAAAACAAACAGTAGATGCCAGGAAAATATATTAAAGGTATTTTAAAAATCAAAAAAGTTTCTAATGTTAAGAGGGGATATAACCTCCTCTTGAGCTTGCTCCCCCCCTTATGTCTGTAATAGCATTATATACCTCATAATACTTTCATGTGGATTGAATAAGCATGATTTCCTATTCCACGTATCAGTATTTAATACTTGATTCATATTACTGCTTTTGTCCCCCAGTGGGAAGATTATAGAATTAAAATTTTAAAATCTGGGTTCAATTCCCCATGGTGAGATAGCACACTGTGTAGCTTTGCATGAAAAAACAACTATTACTTTCAAGAAATTTAGATACAAAAATTTTGTGCCTGGTGTTAGGGCGTTCAACTCGCAGGTTCGAATTGTATCATCAAACATGCTTGCCCTTTCAGCCATGGGGCATTATAATATGACAGTCAATCCCATTACTTAATTAGAGTAGCTCAAGAGTTGGTCATGGGTGGTGTTATCTAATTGCTTTCCCTCTAGTCTATCACTTTTAAATTAGGGATAGCTAGCACAGATAGTTCTCAAGTAGCTTTGTGCAAAATTCAACAAATAAGAAAATTAACATTTAGATGCATCATATGAGGTTTGTTAACTTAAAGGAACTAAGTTTTTTTTATTTAAGGGATATAAATTTGGACTTAAAAACATAAACAGTGTTTACATTTATCAAATATCCAATGGCATAAGTTTAATATTTTCATTCATTTTCCTATATTCAAATGAAATTATTTCTATAAATTTCAACACTAAACAAACAGCACACAGTGAACTTATTTTAAAATAATATATTAAATCAAGTCAAAACTTGTATACAAATGTTCATTACACTGTTGATTATCACAGTGGTATCCAGAGCTCTAAATAATTCTCTATTTCGTCAAAGTCCACACAGGCTGGTTCAGTTACTTTAGAACATAATTTGACAAAACGAATTATTCTTTCTGCTCTGTTATTACAATACAGTCTGTGAAAATTTCATTTTAAAAACTGCCACTATATGCTCTTTATGGCTAAACTCACAATCATACAGTCTAGGTCTATCTATATTGAACTAAATTTCCGACATATATTTATACTCCGGCAGAGGTCTAGAACATTACACATGCTACTAGATATTATGATGCAATAATACTCAATTAAAGCAGCTAGAAAAACTCGAAAGATTCTAGTAACATGATGCAATAATATAACAATCATCAATTCATAACTATTGAACAATACAACGTATGATTTGTAAACAGTTATGTAAACAAACTTGCAATAAACTATCATTTCTAAAAATAACGATTTAATATTTACACAATATAAACTATCTAAATCATAACACTCACATTAAACTTAAACAGTCATGTACATCTAACATAAAAGGAGATACAAAAGTCATGCAACATTGATATCATACCACAAAACCACTGACTACAGTGTTATTCATTCTTTATAAACCTCAAAATTGCTGTAATTTACTAAAAGAAAGTGTAAAAAATATAAACTGAAGTACTTTTGCTACATTCTAGGATGTTTACAACTTTATAACTTATGTATCTTAATGTAGTATAAAAACCACTGGAGATCCTACCAAAGTTCTAAGGAACATAAGCCAAGTCATTTGATAAACATATTGGTAAAAGAAAGTCATTGTTCTTAAATGTCATTTCGTCTACATTATGTAATAAATAATCTACAAAATAAAATTTAATTACAAATTAATGACATTTGATTAACACAACCTGATGTTGATTACAAGTATATTAAACTATTCATAAACAAATCCTATATTTATATAGAAGCTGAGAGTTTGTGTTACTGCTGTTGCTCATTTAGTTGCATGTAATCTTTTACTTAGACATGCAACCTAAAAGTTATGATGTAAATAAAACATTTTTTTTATGTATTCTTTATCTTATTTTAAATGTGTAAAATGCATACACAAGTGTTTATATTAGTACAAATAATTAATTTTGTATCAAACATAGGACAAAAAAGCATTTAAAAAATTAGCCTTACTTTGAGATAAAGAGAAGTTTTGTTTATTATTACGAATTTGTAATTGGGTTACATCAGATATTTTCCTTGGGGGTAAGACTATATATCAGCTTTGATCCAGAGACAATATTATGGGGATTTGTTTCATGATAATGTTTAAGAACTGGAATTTACTTCAAGAGAAGAAATTAATGTGATATCTCTTTGTTCTAGGGTACCTTTCCAACACTTACATACTGCCTGGCTATCTGTATTCCAACTGTACTGTTTTCTGCATTCTTTTGGTTTACTCAGAGAAGGCATGTTAAAACAGACTGAAGAATGTTATAGTTTGAAATAGCATTGATGTATAATAAAATTATTATAGAATAACATTAAATGTACAGTAATTTCTGAATTTCATGTTAAATCAAGGGTTTTAATTAATTTGGCAGTTTCAGGATTTTACTGATAAATATAGATTCTCAAAATTAAAGAAAATTAAATCTAGCCTTAAACAAATACTCAGCCACTGTTGATGTGTTAGTGTATTTTTCATTATCATACCATAAATATATTTATGTGAAATACAAGTTTGATAATACTGTTATTTGTAATTGGTAACCAACAACTACAATATGTTTTGGTTAACTAAAAGTTTAAAATCCACGTTTAATGCAATGGTGTATTTTAGTCAATCTTTATATGACTTTAAAAATTAGATTGGTTTCACCACCTTGTCTCGTGCATACTCTGTAAAGAAACTACTACTTTAAATTTTGGACACTATTAAAGCAGTAGTGATAAACTTCTGAAAATTTTTATGTATCACTGAATCAACATACCTAAAATTTATGTTACTACCTACCTAATCTGCAGTGCTCTTTGTCAAGTTATTTTCAGCATGACAGGATACTATGGAGAAGTTTGGGTATAATGCGATATATATAATTTTTTTTTTTTTTTACATGAGTGAAGTTATACTGATAAAAGAAGAATCCGATACCTTAAATGTTAATGTTTAAACATGTGAAAGTTGTTATAATAAACCTTTTATATTTCACACCTTTTAAATTCTGTAACTAAACATATAAAAAAAAAATTTTCAGTGTTAGTTCATGGATTATTCTACTCAAATATTTTTACAATACCTTTTATCTTTACATTAAAAATATAAATACACATTCTGTTCTTACTCTGTCCAAATTTGGGTATACTGGTCTGATCTAGATTAAGTAGTCATGCCCCAAGGTTACAGAAAGTAAGTAGTAATTATAGAGAGATTCAGTTACAGCCACTAGGTTGTGACAGAACTATCTTGTAACTTTGTGGGCATGTTTTTGAACTTTTGTCAGCACATGTGAAATAAAAGTGTACTGTATTAACTACATCGGTTTGTTTTAAAGTTTATGAGCAAGCTAATAAACAAAGGTTGTTTTAAGGTTTAAGTTATTAGAGGTTAGCAGTTATAACAAGGAGTATTTGTTTCATTTAATGAAATTTTGAAGGCTCTGTGGTAGAACATTTATATAGCAATTATATTAAATGAAAAAGTAAAATGATTTCCTGTTACAAAGAGCTTGTCTTAACTCAACAGAGCACTACAAGCTGCTTCACAAGTAGCTTGCTTTGCAAACCATATAAAGAGTAATTGTTCTCTGAAATTTGATATCTGCAACCAACATACAAGGGGGCATCTCAGAATTTAGCATTTTCATTTTGTTTTTCCATTTCAAGTTAAAGTATATTAGCAGTTGGGATATTAAATGTTATTTCAAGCTCTTATTGACAATTTTGTGCTACTGGTTCTAAAAGAATTGATAAATATTTACAGTTTGGTATTGCAATTTTTTGATAATCATGGTATGCAAGTTATATATCACTGTAATAACATGTTAAATAATAAACAGTTATAGTACACAACTGGATTGAAAGTATTTATTATTTTTAGGGATATAGCATGAGTAAACAATATCTTAGATTCACTTACAGATCTCTCTCAAATAAAAAAAACAACAAAAAGAAAGTTGTTCAAAATTAAAAAGATTAAAACAAATTTCTTGCATTTGCCATAGCAGCTTTTGGAAATCACGTTTTTAACCAACATCAGAGTATATACATTAAGGTGTACATTATTGAAATAAGCTTTTAAGTCCTTAAAAGTTTTAATATCTTAAGCTTTAAAAGAACATATCTTCCTTTGATCTGGAACTGTCCAAAACTCCTCAATGTAGTTCAGACAAAGAATATTTTTTCTTCTGGTATTACTTTTTTTTCAATGCAAGCAAAGTTCTTGAAAGGGTTTAACTTAATAAAAATTGAGCCATGCTTCAAAGAAAGGTTTTTTTTTTTTTAATTTCACACTTGATGTCAAGTGACAAAAAAAAGTTTTAGTACATTAAACACTACAATGTAAACTAAATGTTTGAGATAAAATAATTTCAAAAGCACACATTTGTTTATAAAGAACATCAATTCATCCAATCAGAATATTTCACAATAATAAAAGCCACAATCTGTTTACACTTCTGCATAAATGTGAATACTTAAATATACATATAAAAATATTATGGACTTTATCCACATTTATCAAATCAATTTTGTTTAGATAAAAATATTATTAAGAGAATATTTTTAAGTGGGTAATGTATTGAAAAATAAACCATTTTCATGCTACTCTCGGAATTCTCATTGCTATTAAAACTAAACCAAAAAAGGTCATGCTTCAGTTAACCAACTAATCAAAATTTTTAAAGCAATGAATGACACTTAAACCAAAGAAATGTTTTCATAATAAACAATCTCTTTACAATTTCTTGCAGTAACTTTTTTTTAAAATATGTTAATTTTACTAAGTTCTAGAGGGAAAATAGTGTTTATCCGAGATGTTGGACAGTAACAAAAAAATGAAATAACAGTTTTAAATACATCAGATGTTACAGCTGAGTTTATCAAAACGTCTGTGGAATAAAAAAAGCAAAATTTTAATGTTTTGATTCAGAGATGTATTTTAATATCTTAGAAGTTTTTTTTTGCTCTTAAATTTACCTGATACCCAAACTCGCACATCATTGAAATGTTCAAAATATAATGTGCAGAATAATTAGCAATAGCAAATCATATGCTAAATGTACATAATACACAAAAATAAGAGAACAAGCATTTTTGAACAAGAAAATACAAACTAATGGTATATTTGAATTAATAAAAATAAATGCTAATATGTATACACACACATACATCCTAAAGTAGAATGATAAACATGTTTTGCACTAGTTAAGGCCCATAATTGCCTTTTCCTACATCTAAACTACATAACAAGGAAAAATAAAACTCCAGTTCACTTCAGTGTGAACCAAAATATAAATGGCAAGTTTCTTCTTTCAAAGTCAAGAAGTTGGCACATTTGCATGCCTTTATATAAAATAAAAATACTTAAAATTTTACAATTTTAAAATTCATATTGTTGAATATAAAAAACATTTGGTAAGCAATTAAAGTTAACATAAAAACTATTATACCTGCATCTACTTAAGAACATAAGTGTAGTGCTTACAATAAATTACAGGGTCTGTATGCCTCCTGGAATTAATTTACTAAAAAAAAAAAATTATCTCTTCATTTCACATATACCCATGAAGTTAATATTTAAAAATTGTTCATGTTATGTACACAAGGGCATACTATAAGTCTCGTACCCTAGGCCCTTATATATAATGCATAAGCTGTGAGAAACGTTACTGAATCAAACACTGTCTGTGTTATTCTTATTAATGATTCGCATGTTTACAATACAATTTTAACAAATGGCAGTTTGTGATTTTGTTGAAACTTAAAGCATTAATTTATCATGCTTAATGCTTGACTAAACATGTAAAACTACACCTGGTGGGAAATGCACATTTAATGTGTTATGGCTTGATAAACCAGAAAATGCCAACTGGCTTGTATGTGACAGTACAGCCAAACACAATGTTGGTTGCAACATGTGCAAGAAAACCTTCGATATCTCAAATATGGGTGAAACTGCATTTAAAAGTCACATGAAATGATCCAAGCACATTGCATAATTTAAACAATGGGAATTGATAGCTTTATGAAAAAATAAAATAAAATGCATCAACTAGAAGCAATGGGAAATCGCCTGTTGCTGTTATGCCTACACCTGGTAGCACCACTAGTGGTAGATTTACTGGAAATAATAGTACTACTAGATCTAGTAGCACTAGCAGTCACGCTAAGCTTAAAGTTGATCAGCAGTACTCCAGTTATTTAACTTGCACAGACATTTTAAAATCAGAAATAACATGGACCATGAAAGTTGTAATGTCACATCACTCACAATATTCAACAAGTATTGCTATGATGTTTCCTGACAGTGACATTGCAAAGAAATTTACATGTGGTGAACAAAAAGTTGCTTTCTTAACCACATATAGAATTGCACCATATATACAATGTCTGCTTAATCAGAGTGTGGCGCTACAAGACTTATGTACTGTTCTCTGATGAAAGTCTAAACAGAAAAGTCAGATCAAAGCAGATGGATATTCATGTGCGAATCTGGGAAAGCAGTGGCCTGGTAGGTTAAATGAACTATTATATTTAGATCCAGATAAATGAATTTTAAGATATTATTTATACACAACTAAATGACCAGCTTAAATATGATCTACTGTAAGTAATAGAAACAAGACCACTTGCAGCTAGGCATATAAAACACATAGCAAGAATAATTCATATTTTTTACTTTTAAGAACAAAAATCATATTACAGTTATGCTGCATAAAGACTTGCCTTGCATTTGTAGCTCTGAAAGTATATGACTGTTTTGTTAAATTTGACTGGCAAATTTTGTGTTGATTCGTGTGTGTGTGTGAAGTCCACAGAAGATTTAGATCTGAATAAACTACAGCAAGTTTGTATGGATGGACCAAATGTTAATTAGAAGTTTCACAGGCAGCTGCAAAAAACAATGAGAAAAATTTAGTGAATGTTGGTTCTTGTGGGTTATACACAGTCCACAATGCATTTCGAAAAGGTGCAGTGGCATCTGGTTGAAGAGTAGAAAGCCTTCTTGGCAGTCTATATTATTTGTTTAAAGATACTCCAGCATGTAAGGAAGACTACTTCATAGCAACATGATGAAGTGTCTTTCCACTGAAGTTTTGTAGTCATTGATGGGTAGAAAATGTAGTTGTTGCTGAGCAAGCTATGGAGTTATGGCTTAATATACTTAAATATACAACAGTCACAAAGATGTGCATGTTGGCTTTGTGGCTCAAAAAAAAATCAAGTGCTTATCAACAATGACATTCCCAAAGGTCAGTGAAAAACAACTTATGGAATTTGTAGCAGACTGCAGGTTATTTTTGGTATCAACTGTTGAAAAATTAGTGAAAAAAACATCTATAAACTATCCAGTTGTGAAAAATATGTCATGCCTGGATCCCAGACTTATGGCAGGTGATGGGGAGGAATGTAAAGGAAAAATATGTTGAACAATCTGATTAGCACCAAAAGCATCTCAGTGTGATGAAATTTTAAGGCAGTATGGGAAATCCCTAGATGTGACTGTTGAAGCAAATGGTGAATCTTACAAGAATTTCAACCCATATGCTGAGAATGCTAGGTTTGATTCTCTGTTTGCCAAGGACATGGGAAGTCAATCTCAGTAAGCCTTACTATGGGTAACAATAAAACAACTATTGTTATCCCATGGCCAAGCCGTAGTAGAGAGAGGGTTGTGTGTTAACAAGGAAATTGAAGTAGAAAACCTCTCAGAAGAATCAGTGATTGCTCAAAGACTATGTTTGATCAGTTGGAGGAATACAGAATGTGGAAATCTCAACCAGTTTTGGCATCTGCAGCAAGGTAATGTTACATGCATTTTTTGGAGGAAAAGAAAGAGGAACTTGAAGAATTAAAAAAAATCAGAATTCAGAAAGACAGAGGAACTTACAAAAGATGCTGATAAAGCAGAGGCTGTAGGTAACTTGACCTTTGTAAGGAAGTCAAACAGCTTGAGGAGAACAGCCAATGACAAAATGAACACTTTACAGAGTCTAAATGATGACATTGAGTCTAAGTTACAGTTGCTCAAAAAATAAAGTTTAAAGACACTGAAGCAGTTTATTCATATAAAAACATTTTAAAACATTTAATTTACATAAAATGCCCTTTTTTTGCATGTTATACTATGTAACAATTAATGCACTTAATAGATTCTGCAAGCAGTCATTTTTTGTTTATAATTATTCACTTGGTTGTTCCTGGAAATTTATTGACTCAGTCCTGGAAAACTCCTGGAATTTGTTCAACTTTTGTCCGTAAGGACCACAAATTAATTTGTAATATGAACTATTACTAAAAGTTTACTTGTTAATAATCATTAGCCTATGTAATATTCAAAATTCTAGGTGAATAACCAAGCATGAATAGCAGGATTTCTTATATAGTCTCACCATCATTTTTTTTTTGTTGAAAAGTACTGTTGATCTTAGCTGCCATAATGATTACAGGTAAGAGATTTAAAACGATAGTGGAGCCTTGCTATAACATGAATTGATATGGAGCTGATCTTTGTATAATGCAGATCTTTCATGGATCCCAAAATTCATGGCCTAACTAAAAGTTAATTGCTCAATATGAATTGAGTGTGTTTAATACACATCTTTTTGAGTATCCCATCAGTTCAGCTAACTTAGTAACTGATCAATGAAATTTCTCCATCTTAACTAATTAAGCAAGTTAACCAATGAAATTTGGTTATTCTAACTGACAGCCACTTAGACCCTATAAATGATGCACCTGAACAACTGCAAAACATCTGTACATATACAATTTCAACAATGCTATCATTATGTCTGCTACTAACATCAATTCCAAGAGAAAGCTTACACATTTGCCAAAAAGCTCACCACCATAGACAAGATAAAGAAAGGGGCTATTCAGGCATCAATCTAAAAAAAACATGGGATCTTTGAGTCAATGCTATATGGCTGGTTAAAGGAGATGACAAACTTCTGAAAGTTTGCACAGAGATAGATGAAGGTGGGCAACAAAGAAAGAATGCCATTATCCAACAACAGCAAGCCAAAGGCATACCAATATACAGATCAGTTTTCCAAGCACAAGCCAAAATGTTTTCACAGTGTCTTGATAAAAATGACAAATTTGAAGCCAGCAGAGAGTGGCTGATGCACTTTAAAAACTGCCATGGTATAAATCAGTGACCATCCACAGAGATCATAGGTCCATTGACACTGTTGCTGCTGAAGCCTACCCCCAGGAACTGAAGAAAAATAATTGAAGATAATGTCTACTCCAAAGAAGTGATTTATAACTGTAATGAAACAGCCCTGTACTACAAGACACTTCCAGACAAGCCACTGGCAACAAAAAACCGAAAAAAACAGATTGGTTAGTTTTAAACAGATAGTCACACCTCACTGTCGTCCTCTGTTGTAACTGTATCAGCTGTAACTACCATCACTTATTATTAGGAAATTCAAGAAATTGAGATGTTTCCACTACATGAAAATGTTACCATGCCTCTACGACAACAGTGCAAGTGGATGACTTCAACATTTGAAAACTGGTTTTATAGAGAATGTTTCCCATCCATCAGAAGACACCTGTGACATACCAAGCTTGAAAAGAATGCCATCTTATTACTCAACAACTGTCCAGCCCATCCACCACCCAAGAATCTTGAGACCAAAGATGGCAAAATTAAATGTGTGTACCTTCCAAAGAATACATCATCAAAAATTCAACCTCTTGATCAAAGTATAAATTGCAACATTTATGTTAAATTACTGAAAAGATCTGATCAAGAACATGGTCAACAGTGATTTGAATGTCATAGCATACCTGAAGAAAAAAACTCCACATCAAGGAAGGCATCTGCAATTGGGCATGAAAACAGATTACAATGAAATGCGTAACTAACTGCTGGAAACCCCCAACACAACCAGCATTTGAAACCACAACATTGAGCTGCTGATACTAGCGATGACAAAGAAAAAACTTTGATGGCTTCATGGAGGGAGAAGTTAACAATGCATGCTGAGAATTGATGACAGCAAGTACAATGGATTGAACGATGCTGATATGAACAGTGTACGAAAAGTCACTAGAGATGATATACAACTGGAAGACATCACTGCTTGGTTGAAAATTGACAAAAATGAAGATACTTACAATTGAATGACCAAATTTAAAACAAAATAATATTGAATGTCACAGATACCAATGAAAGTTATGATGATGATACCAGTAATAAAATTGATAATAATGATGAAGAGGAAGACCTAGCTCAGCCACTGCCATTCATGAAATCCGTCATAGACACCATTGAAATAACACAAAATGGGCTGAATCTTATGAACACTTGACACTCATAATGATTATCCATCTCTGAAATGTCTTGCATATGGCGAAAGCTGAATCCCACAAATCGCTCCAACAGCTTAAAGTTACTGACTTTTTCAGTGTGATCATTAATACATAACTCAACTTGTGGTAATTCCTGTTAAGTCTCCAGATTATCCGTGTGATGTTCAATGGAAATTTTTTTTCAAAAGTATTTATATTTATTCTTGATATCATTGATTTGATTATTTAATATTGCTCTGAAATTGTTTTGGATATCATCATTTTCATGTTGCTTATAATCTGTAACATTACTTAAAAAAATCCATGTACATGTACAAATTTTATACTCTTATTATTTTTAAATTTCCTTAATAAAATTTATCTACTTATTTTTATAAAATTTAATTTTTATTTAAATCTGAATAAACTGTTTTGTTCTGTGTGTCATTTATTCGTAGTTTCTGGCAATTTGGGGTTTGAATGGGATGTTAATGATATCATGCACCCACCTTATGTGGCAATTTGACAAGGACATCACTATAACACACCTCACTTATAATGTGATCTTGTGATATGGATCCCGACTACCATGTTATAATGAAACTCCACTATAAATATTGGCAATTAAAAATTTCTTGAAACTTATACAGTATTCTTATGCATTCTTTCTCAGACAATCAGTTTTATGACTTTCTATAACCTAAATTATTCGTTATTATCTGTTATTTATTATTTATACCCTCTCCTCTTCAAATTTAAAACTTAAATTCTACTACCCACAAATAACATGAAAGTGACAGTTGCAAAGAACTGTTTGAGCCAAAAAAAAGATGCAAAAAATATTGCTTATAAAATTCTAGCTTGACTCCTTTAACAGTAGATTTAAAAAATCAAATCTTAGAGGTAATCTCTTGTAACTCGATATGCTTAAAACAAACTACAAATTGCATTATCTTTTAAGATACAAGGTACTTTACATCAAATATTGGACTATTAAAGATACTGTTGTGTATCTGGTGTAAAATAAATAGGTGTTAATCTTTTAGTAGCATAGTTATCTACCAGTGATAAAAAGTTTCACTTAAAAAATGAGAATAAGTTTAAAGTATATCTGGTTCACACATTTCTTGTCAGAAAGCATTTGTGCCTCTAGAATAGTGCCATTCTTATTTTAATGTTTCTTTGCAATAAATACTGTTCTGTAGCACAAATGAATGCTTGTAGTGTGTGTGTGTAGTGTGTGTGTGTGTGTGTGTGTGTGTGTGTGTGTAAACTATCTCATATAGAGGTAGTAAGATTAATGGTTTACCTTGCATACTATATCTACATATATATATATATATATATATATTATATATATATATGCTTTACATGTTTCTTAACATTTTCTTAGAAAACACTACACAAATATTGTAATATGGGTAAGAATATCCCAGGGTTCCCACATCTCCTGGAAAACCTGAACATTTTCCAAATCAATTTCTACTCATGGAGAAAAACTAACTGTCCTTGCAAACTATGACTTAATGAAATGCATTGTTTGTTTTAATAACAATTAATCATTTCATTGAACAACTACACTAAAATGTTAATTTAAATAAAAACAAAAAAAGTGAGAATGGAGTAGACAAAGGGTGATGCAAAACTATAAAGTGACATGAAAAATGTTTGAAATGTTCTGTAAAAGTATTTTTGACTAAGGGTGGGAACCCTCGAAATCCATATTTTATCACCACATCTTATAGCATAAAGTTCCAATATGAAACAAATTAACAACATGTAATTTCAAGATTATACATGTAAAACTAAACATTCAACTATCTCTGCAGTTTGGAAGCAAACCAGAAAATTTAACCAGTTAGCATCTTTCTTTATATCAAAACTGGAAATTTGTTCATACTCTTAAATTTTACAAGAAAATAAAATAAATGACAACAGCTACACTAAGGAAGCATCAATAAGAAATTTAAATTGTGAAACATACGTTTGGCTATGACATTAAAGAAGTGGTATGCTATCTTAAATTATGTAAGAAAGTAACGAAACATTAGAAGCAGCTATGCTGTAAATAGTAACCTTCCATTTCCATTGCCTAAAGTAAGTTCTGCTACTTTATATTAGTGAAAAAGATATGTACTTGAGAAGAATTTAAGAGATGAATTTATTAAGAGAGAATGTATTCTGTATTTTGAATGAAGTTATAATAGACCTAATAGTAGCTGTGTCAATTTAATGTAAGACAAGTTAAAGTCACTATTCTATAACTCCTATTAGATAAATGAAAGTTCAAACACTGACACAGCTAAATGGTCTCTATAAATAGATAATTTCAACATCATCATGAATTAAAGTGAACTGTTTTCTGATTACACATCTAAGAAATAAAATCTCAAATCAGTTTAGAGGTACTGCATATCTACAAGTATATTAGAAATATGTAATTTTTGTATAAAACACTGGATAAATATTCAAGCTTATTTTTGATATTTGAATAGGTAATCTTCCATGAACACGAATTCATCAGAACATGTAAAACAAGACAGTCAGCTGAAAATACAACACTTAAAATTATTTTACAGAATACCTTTATACTGCAAACCTACAGATACCAAAATCATGCAGGTTGTGTTCTAAAATAACTGTTCCTTTTATTTGCATATTTTTATAAAGTAAAATGATCAAGTACTGTTGCATGTAACCATATTATGGTTACTCTAACCACAATATGAATCTTGAAAGAATTTTATAAACACCTAAGTTTAGCCACCTGAAATAAAGAAATTAACTTTTTAAGGATTTTCTTTTTCTTTGTATTGTGGTTTTTTTTATTTTACTTATGGTTTAAATACTTATCCTTGCTTACCTAAGCACAATTATATTACAGTCTTTCATAACTTCCACAGGCTTTTAGGCTTAAGAAACGAAACTGAAAAGCTTTAAAGACAGTTACATAAAAACCCAAGATAAAACTTATAATGCTTCCAAGTCTCGTAGATATGAACTAAAGTAAATAACTTTGTCCTCTACAGTTCACAAATGTTGTAGAGAAACTTTTCATTCAAATGATTTAAGTATATTTATCCAAAATTTCTACAAAACAGATGTATATTTAAATATTACAATTTGAAATCATGAAAAAAAAGAAAGTAATTTCAAGTCTAACATTAAATTTGGTGACTAAACTTTAACGATTTAAGTCTGAATATCAAAATTTTTAGCTAATTCATTCTTTGACTGAAAGAAATACAACTTGTTTTAACTGACATTGTAAGCTTGTATGTTTAAAAACTAAGCATCTCGGTTTGTTGCTTAAAAATTGTAGAGTCGAATTACTAGTAGCCAGCTACTCCTTTTTAAGAACTAGACATAATAAAAAAAAAATATATATATATATAAACACACACAAATAATTTCCAAGTTAACGAGAAGAAGATAATAAGAATAAAACATTAATATGTGCTATTCTTCTAGCCACGCAAAACTTCTGCCTACTGCCCGATAAAATTCTCTGTTGTATGGAGTATAAAAGCGTCTAAGCTTAGAAATAAGAACAGATGGGATCACAGGGTGCTTTCGGCCTTTACTGTCATTCAAGCATTTGTCCAAGGTTTCATTTCGGACACAAAAAAATCCTTTTGTCTTGTTGTAGTAGAAATTTTCCCTTTTAATGTAATGTTTGAGGCCTAAAAAATCTTCAATTTGCTTTAACTCTAAGAATGGATCACTTATGAGCTGGTCTCCACTTACAACCAAGATCTGATTGTCATTAAAAACTTTTAGCCACTTTTTCAAGTAAATGGAATACATACTGATTTTTACAGCCTTATAGTTCATATTGACCTGACCATCCGACTTAAAGACTAGTTCTTCAAAGGGTGGAAGGGGTTTCCCTTTTTTAGCCTTGTTAGCTGCAAGTTGAGAATAATCTGAAATCAAACGAGTCACTGGATCCCTGACAATAAGAAGTAATTTAATAGAACTGTTCATCTCATGGATGCGTTCTGGTACTTTATCAGTGATGAAATATGCTGGACTTTTTTCAATAGTGATCTGTCCAGGAAAAGAGAAAGGCATCTTTCGACGATACCATTCCAAGCCTAGGGAATGCCTAGCATCATTATCAAAAAAATGCTCTTCCTCTGAAGATTTCTGAATCATGGGATGAACATTAAGGAATTCTAGAAGAGCTCGGGTGCCTCCTTTACGCACACCAATAATAATTACTTGTGGTAACCGTCGTTTAGTTTGAATAAAATGAACTCTTTCCCTCAGTATGTCTAAATTAATTATTTCTTCATTGTGATAACTATCCAGACAAAGCTCTGGATCCTCCAAGTTCTCCCAGTGTGAGAAATGAGCTATCATACAAAGGAAGAAGATGAAAAGAAACACCAAAACTGCAAAATAACGACTTTTCATACGTGTCTCAGTCCTACCTGATGTTGTATTCTTAGAAGTTTGATGGGTTTCACTTAAAGAAATCAAAACATGTCTGGGAAAAGTTGAAAAGCCTGCATCCTTCTTAACTGGCATACTGAGTTCAACTCATCTAGGAAAATATAACCATTTTATTTAACAACCATAAAAAATCATCAATAGATTTATTATGGGTCTTAAAATAATATTTAACAAATGCCCCAGTATGGTACTTATTCTCCAGAAAAGATAAAATTCTAATAATTTAAATTAAATTGTTACTCTGTAAAAAAGTAAACAATATAGTCCTTCTTAATAAGTACAGTATTAACTAAACAAATATACACCTGGAAAAAAGTTAAGCACCCCCAAATATTTTTCAGGATTGCTTATTGAAAATAAGGTTTAATTTTCATGATGTTGAGCAATGTTCATAATTTCAAACATAATTAAAAAGGATGTGAGCGTTCAGGTGTGACATTT